TGTTTCTTTACTTTGTTATATAATCGTTTTTGTTTTGGGGCGCTGCCCCTTGGATCCTTCTACGGGAGCTGCACATAGAGCCCACCGGGAGCGTTGCCCCTTGGAACCCTATCCCCAGGGATGCTTCCCCTGTACCCCTGTATTCTCAAGTCCACGTTTATCAATTCGAGTGTGCACCTTACACCTCCAATCTCAAAAAAAGTAAACTAAACTCATCATGTCTCGATAGTAATACTAACAACACTAAAATATGTTGATAACACTAAAATTACCAACATATGTCATTTAGTTAACCTTTTTCATTTTAAATAATATATTTTAATTGTTTTATTGTATTAAAATTTGATTATTAATAGCTACCAACATAATTTCTCCATGTGACAATAGATACAATAGATTTTAGTATTCTTTCAATCAATGATAATAAGAAAGTCAAATGTCGCCAACAAAGGCTAATCATCACATTCGTTGACATCACTTTCAAATAGCATGAGCGCTGAAAGTCTTTAGTTAAAATAGAATGTCAATATCTTTTTGTTTGAATGAAGAAAACTAGTTGGAGAACTCTATTTGCATGTTCTTCCGGGGAGAAATGGAAAAGCGTAGTTAGTCCATTTTCCCTCTCCAAATAGCCACATATAAAAATAGATTAAATTGCACAAATCGTCCATGTTTTTAAATTTCTCTTTCAAACAACTATTATTATGATACAGTTTAAAAGTTGTTTTGTTTGATAAATCTAGATTATTTTGTTGAATGATTTTACCTTTTCAACCCCTCCAACCTCGAAGAGCTTCCCATCCTTGTATTCCTAAAAACCTTGATGTCTAAGCATACTAAGCATACTGCTAAAGAATTAGCAGAGTCGTCTCCCTCCTTATAAAGGTGATAAGCTAGCTAATCCAAAAGAGATACCAGCCATAATTGCTCTTAGAGTAAATTACACGAATCGTCCCTCGTACAGATACCAAAACGCATGTTGTAACATCCCGATGTTAAGGTACTTCTAAATTCATCCATATAATTCTATTTCATGTGAATTGGTCAAGTGGTAGAACCCTTGAATATATTTGAGGTTGGACACGGTATGTTGGAGGCACTAACACAGCGTGTTTAGATATGAGAAGGCGCGAGTTTCATTTTGGGCAACACTACGTGTTTGCTCTTGGAACACGGCGTGTTGACGGCTGGAATGAAACCCTAAGTTTCCGGGTTTTTCTCCCTATATAAAAGAATGTAGAGGCTAGGGTTTGTTCACCCTCAGCCCCCATCAGCCCTGAAAGAAACCCAAATCATTTTATCTCCCATTTATGAAGCTAGTTTGGTGTTTTGAGGCTAAAAGTAGGAAGAAGGTGGAAGAAGGAAGCAAAAGATCCAGCAAGCAAGCATCATTCTTCAGTTTGGCACTCTCCTGGACCTTTGTAAGTGTCCAAGACCCGATTTTATCAATCAAAGTTGTTAGATCTTGAGTTTTGTCCCTTTTTCTCCTTGTTCTTGAATGTTGCAACGGATGGATGTCATAAAGTTTGCAACTTTATGAATCTCCAGGTCAAGGTGACCTAGTAGTGTCTTGGATCTAGTCTATAACCAAGTTTGGATGCCATGCATAAAGATTAGGGCATAAATCCTCATTTTGACCTAATATGGGTTCAAGACATACATTAGGCATGCATGTCTAAAAAGCACCAACCTTTGGGATGGTTTTGGTGTTAGAAACACTTCTGGAAAGGATGGAGTTCAGATCTTAAGGATTAAGAGTATTTTGGTTAAGCCCATGCATTAACAAGCTTGTGATTTAGGTTTTTGGACGTTTTTGGTAGTCCCAATGGATAATGTTGGAAACTTTACCCTTCCTAATCACATTTTGGTCTAGATCTGAGCTTTGGAGCTCTTGAAGTCGAAAAGGCAGCTGGATGTATTAAGCTATTGGAACTCAGGCGAACACGACGTGTTTGCAAGTCAACATGGCGTGTTGGTTGAGGTTTTCCCGACTGTTTGGATGCTCGCGGAACACGGCGTGGCCAAGGGGAACACGGCGTATTGGGTCAACATGGATTGTTGACCTTGACCGTTGACTTTGACCAAGTTGGACCTTGAGGGTATTTTGGGATCTTGATGGAATTGGTCACTTGGTGGGAACATGTATCGGTTAGAGAACTGAGATTTCGGAGTCGGACCTCATCAGTTATGTTCAGTCTGCAAGGTGAGTTTTCCTCATTATACTTACGGGTCGAAGGTCGGCCATTTGGATTGTTATCCTGGTTTATCGTATGATGGTGTGCTGTAGTAATCTTTTAAATCTAAATACTGGTAAATAGGATGATGTTATGCTTAGTAATCTATAAGATATGTCTGTTGTTTACTGGCTGGTTATTTGTATGCTTGTCTGTTATATATATATATATATATATATATATATATATATATATATATATATATATATATATATATATATATATATGTGTGTGTGTGTGTGTGTCGACACGGTGTATGTGTGGTTGGGTTGAGGCGGTCCTGCTTTGTGCTGAAGGCCAATAGACCCAGGGCGTCCCGGATAGACTGAAGGCCAGTGGAGCGTACCAGTCAGGCCAAAGGCCCGGAGAACGTTCCAGATAGGATGAAGGCCCGGTATGGCGTCCCAGTCATGCTGAAGGTTTTGTGAGCGTACCAGGTAGTCTGCAGGCCGGTGAGGCGTTCCAGTCAGACTGAAGGCTTTGTATGCATGATGTTTGTTGTTATTATTATGATATTGTGATGTGTTGGTATTTTGGGGAAACTCACTAAACTTTGGGTTTACAGTTTTGAGTTATGTTTCATGTACCTCAGAGGATCGCGAGAAGGCGAAGGCGTGATCGTGCACCTCCTCGTGTGTTGTTTTATGATTTTGGGGAAAACTCGGATATTGAATATGTTTTGAAAACTATTTTGTAAACAATGATGATTTATGGGTTGGTTTTAAAAATTTAAAATTTTCATGAATTTTATGGATGTTACACACATTTAGTCCCTATTTTCAAAAATTAACTCAGACCGTCCCTGTAATATTATTTTTTCACTCGGACCGTCCCTACATACATAAAGTGACTATTTTACCCTTAATAACTTTTTTTTAAAAAAAAATCTATTATTTATTTATTATTTTCTAGATTAAAAAAAAATAAATATCACCAACCAACCCCCCACCCCCTTCATTTTCCTTCTATCTTCCCTCTTCCCTGGAAACGAGCACAACAGAACCATAGACTCACATTCATATTCAAATTCTACCCAAACCCATGACTCCACTAAGCCACAACCATCGTCCACCGCCTTTACCCTCTATCTCCGTCTGCAAAAAGGATCTCATCTTTACAATCGCCACATGCGCACCACATTCGTTGCCCTAAACCCTAGTCGCCTCTCCTTTTTCCAGTGAGAAGGTAGCAGATCTGTTGACACAACCGTTCATCGACGCTGTATCTCATAGATGACCATCAGATTTGTTGGGTTGTACATCGTTGACTACCACTGGATCTATTGGGGTGTACATCAACGAATACGAGTTCAGGTGTAAAAGACAAAGTCATCTCCAACAACCGTCACCCGGAGTGTAGATCTGCGAACAGTTGAAGATGACGATGGCAGTTCGACACACAGGTGGCGATGGCCGTTCCATCTCCGTCTCTCTTGCCCTCTCTCTTTGTACTCATCAGCACCCCCCAAAAAGTGTGTGTTATCTATTTCTCTACTCCGGCTGGTGTTTGTACATGAGCTGTTGGTCGACGATGATGGCTTAGGGATTCATGGAAAGAAGAACGAGGAAAGAAGGGGGTGTGAATAGTGTTTCTGGCGAAAAAAGATGATGGTAGGCGGTGGTCCGACGCGGTGATGATTTTGCTTTAGAAGGAAAAAGAGTTTAGAAGGGACGGGTTAGATAAGGTGGGTTGGGTGGGTTTTAATTTTATTTTGTATATTGCAAATAATTGTAAGAAAAATAAAATAAAGCAAAAATAAAATATAAAGGGCAGAATAGTCATTTCGTGTCTCGCAATGATTAAACGTGTAAATTTAAACTAACGAGGGATAACATGTGCAAATTTTAACCAAACGTGGGACGGTCCGAATTAATTTTTGAAAATAAGAACTGAACGTGTTTTTAGACATTTGTACGAAAGACAATTCGTATAGTTTACTCTTGATCTTAAGATTAGTTAATGGTTTGGAAAAGACGAAGTTTTTTAACTGTTTAGTGGATTCTAATTCCTTTACAGATTTTCAAAAGAATATATCAAACGTGTTGAATTCAGAGTTTATTCAACATCGAGTCCATTCAATAATTCCTATGACCTAGAACCTCCTCCTCCATATACCTTAAGGCTTAAGGATACATTGTTTTAGATATTCAATTATTCAAACCAAAATCCTAATAATTCTAAAATTCGTTCTTCCTTTATGATTTCCCCGACCAAATACAAATAATAAAGGAGCCTCCCCATCCCTCAAGTCGATGGATTCTTCCTCCTGTTCTATACATGAAACGACAAGATATAAAACAAAAATGAAAAGATATTTTTAAGAAACCATAAAACAAAAATTAAAAAATATTAAATGATAGCAATTTCTCAAAGTTATATATTATTATAATAATAATCGCTAAATAACTATAAATAAACTTTTGTTAAAAGTATTATACTAATGTATAATACCTCGTATAGCGTGGCACCATAGAGTATTTACTACGTACGTGGCACCCCACCACTACCCCACCTCACATCATACATTCATACCCCGTTTCCAAAACGGCTCCTATCCTTGTCGTTTTACGTCGACCCTAAGAAACCAATAAAAGAAAATAATTCCAAAAAAAACAAATTTCTTTTTTCGTTTTCCTTTAAATAGATAGCTCGAGTGAAGATAGGTTTGCCAATTTAGAAAGCGAAAAGCAGTCTTTAAAAAATCTCTCTGATCTTCTCCCTTCCTTTATCTTCTAAAAAACCCGAAATTTCTCTAACTGTAAATCAATGGCGAATCCGACCCGAAGACCCGTACTCCGAGCTCACTCTCCTTCCGGAAGATTCTACACTTCGCCGTCGTCAAACTCGTTTGCTTCCTCCACCTCCGCCTTCTCGTCGAGCCCGTCGTCGTTCTTTCTGAACCGATCTTCGTCACCTACACGTGTCAACGTATTCGGATCATCTCCATCGGCGTCGAATATACGATTTTCTCTCGACAATCGTCAAATTTCTCCGAGTCGTTCGATCTCTGTAATTCCGAGGAGTAATAATAGTAATCAGGCGTCGAAAAAGCAGTTGGATAAACCGAGGAGGATGTGTATGTGTTCGCCTACTTCGCATCCAGGTTCGTTTAGGTGCAGCTTGCATAAGAACTCTAACAGCAATCACACTCCGGTGTCGTATCCTTCGAATCGACTCAACGCGAGGAGGTCCGCAATGACAAACTCGTTGGTACGGATTGGCACTGTTGAAGGCGGTGATTTGGTCAGGAGAGCTCTTGCGGCGTTGATTCGACCGTCGTCTCATCAGCAGCGACGGAGAACTTGTTTTCAACCGACGCTTAGTCGTTTATCTTCCATGACTAAAGTCTAAAGCTTGATGATTTGTCATTTTTTGAATCTCGTTTGAGCTCTCCGGAGCTAATCACGGTGGTGTTGAATCAGATCCCGGCGAGTCGGCGGCGGTTGAAGAAGTCGGGACGGACGGTTTTTTTAAATTCCGGTTACCGAAAGAAATCCTGAACTGGATAATAGATTCCTCTTGTGTCTGTATATACTTATAGATGAGAATATATGAATATCATCGGTTGCTGCCATTAATGGCTAACGAAGCAGCTTCAAGTCTCTAAAAACAAAATCCAATCACTTAAAAATTCACAAAAGTAACTAAATTCACCACATCTGTTACCGAATTTCACTTCATTTCTATCCAGAGATCTGACTCTGTTGATGATATCCGTATCCATATTCATCATCGTTCCATTAACTTCAATTATTCTCTCCCATTCCATCTAAGTTTAACGTTTTCCGTTAACTGCGTTCGTTTTCCGTTTCTAAGCTCCGTCATTTCCACTTCGTGTTCAGCGTATTCCTTCCGTTGTCGTCATGTTGAACGTTATCTTTTTTTTTTTTTTTTTAAATTGAATTATTAATTTGTATCTGATGGCTCTTTTGTCTTCTTATTCAACAGGTTATCAATTTCAGATCATCACGTTCACTCTTTCATGATTTGGAGCTTATTTTCGTATACATCTTGAAGACTAATCGATGATAAATTGGACACAATTACCAAAACGAAAGTTGCTGTGTTTATGGATCTTGACTTTTAGTCAAGAAATTTGGAGAATCGTGCCGTGATATGACTTTCATCATCGATTGTAAATTCAAGTGACCGCCATTGACTATCTTGCCTGTGCAAATTTTGGAGGATTTGATCATCGGCCGTTGGATTTGTAGAATACAACCAAAAAACTATAACTTCACATATAATTATTCGAAACAAAGACTAAAAATATAAATATTCATAACATTATTATAAAAAGATGAGTGGGACCATTGAAAACAAAAACTAAACAAAAGATAAATATTTTTATAAGATACTTGTGATAAAGTGTATATAAATATTAAACCATAAGGAGGAGAGTTCGATAGTGAAGTCATTTGTTGGATAAAGACCTCTTCTTGGAGACGTCTTCTTCCACTTGCACATCAATTTAAAAAAAAAAGTACTATGAAATATTAACGATTATTAGATGTCTCTTTGGACCTTTTATATAGAACATTTATTTTTCAACCATTAGACTTGTGTTGTAGTTTTGGTTATTTAGGGAGATGGTTTTGGTAGCTTCATGTTTCAACTAACATGGAGGGAAAAGTAGCAAAGATGCCATGAATGTGAGATCATATATCTTATCTACAACGTAGGAGTGTGGCCTACAGATAAGATAAATGAACCCAACCCTTCCATGTTGCAAAAGGTTAGATAGTAATGGAGTTGACATCATTTTTAAAATCCGATAATCATATATTATCATATTCTAATTATAATATGATGCACAATCCATAATTTACTAGAATGGTTCAATGAGATATTTAATCAATTAAATTCAAGTATAGCGGGACATGAAATTTAGTGGCCATTGAATTTTCTAACATGTTCTTTTAATATAAATACATTTTTTTAAAAATATATTCATCGAGTCTTTCTTGAGTTTAGTGTATTATAAAAAAAAATTATAAATGATATGATAATCTATTAGACTTTATAATGTTCCATATTTACGAAAAAAAATCTAAGTGTTTAATTATCTAACCATCTTTATTTTAAACAAAAAAATGGTTAAAGCTTAACCGGGTGGAGAAGTAATGATGGAGAAAAGATATTTCCACGATTAACCATAAAAATATCATATCCATAATTGGGGGTTGAAAAAAGAGAACTACTAATCTAACCCACTTAATTAAAGGTTAATGATTTATATTTTATAAAGTAATAAGCTGTTATAGCGCGTATATATTTAGTTAATGAATTTTTTTTAAGATATATGGCCATTATATTCTTTTTCTAAAATATTTGGATGTTAATGTTTTATTTTACATATATGATATTGATGGTTATATGTGAAAAAAAATAAAGTTATCATAATGTGTGTATAAAAACCTAGTTTAATGTTTATATGTGTGTGAAAAACATAAATAAACAAAATATATAAAAATATAAGTAATTAAATATATATATTTTATAAAATTTATTATTTTTATAAGTCATTAACCCAAAAGTTGTTGGGTTAAATTTAGGGGTGAGCAACGGTACATGGTACCCGCCTTCGGAACCGGAACAACTTCGGAACCGTCGGATCTGGAACCGTATCCGCTTTAAGCGGTTGCGGTTCCGGTTCCTTAAGTTGTGGAACCGCCTTAAACGGTTTTGGTTCCGGTTCTCACTTTTTCGGAACCGCTACCCGCTGGGTAACTGTTGGAACCAGTTGATATATATATATATATATATATATATATATATATATATATATATATATATATATATATATATATATATATATATATATATATATATATATATATATTGTTAACATTGAATAGGAATTATGAAGTTTTTTTGTTCAATCCAATCACATAAAATAAACACCGAAACACATATATTTCACATAGGAATACAAAACTATTAGTAAATAATTCTAATAATAAAGCTCAAGTTCTTAGAATATTGACGTTGATTTAAATTTTTTTAGTAATGTATCAAAATTTATTGATAACTAATAAGAAATACAATGAAATCGTATTGCAATTCACTTAAGTTTAGTATTCAACAAAAGGTATCTCTGTTGATGTGCTCTATATTTGCCGGAAATTGAATTTTATGGAAAAAGCATATTATCCCACATTGCTTGCTGCAACAAATCTTTGAAGACTATTTTGCTTATAAATGGAGAATGCGCTTTAATTCATTTCCACTTCATCACATGGTTTCGAATAAAACCTCTATATATGGGTTGAAGTATTCGGGCTTGAAGGGTAACACCAACAACTTTAAAACTTTTCAAAACAATGATTACGAGCCCTCGAAATAAATAAATTCTAAAACTTTCATGATTTTTGACTTATAATAGTTTGAAAGATTTTAACAAACGGGTACCCGGAACCGGAACCGGCTCTGGCGGTTCCGTGAGCGGTTCCAAAACTTAAGGAACCGATGTAACCAGTTCCGGTTCCAAAATTTTAGGAACCACCGGTTCCGGTTCCGGTTCCACTAAAATTGGCCGGGTACCTGCCTATGTTTACCCCTACTTAAATTGATGTTTTTAACATATAACTTATCGGGTCTATATGCGTAATCATTAAAATAAAAATATAAAATGCTAATGTTTTTCCAATATTTTATACACATTTAAATGTTTTATCACAAGTAATCACTAATTTCATTGGTCCAATCACCAATGTGTATAAAGTTGCTGGGACTTTCGAAATCCTAGAACGTCGTCGTTTTGAAATAAGAAGTTTTCTTTTTCCGTAGGTTTGATATGTAAAAATGAATAATAATAATAATAATATTAATATTATGCAGGTTGGACATGCGAATTCATAGTTTTTAACATGCGCTTTTTTTCAATGTTTTAAAAATCGGTTTGAAACGGTCGGTCGAACCGGTTGGACCGTGAACCGGAGGATTGAGTGGTTCAACTATCACCGGTTTTACGTCGATTCTGAACCGGATTGAACCGGCCGGTTTTTAGAAAAACCCGGTTGAACCGGTCAAAATAAACTGGTTAAACCGAATAAAAATACATGGATAAGAACCATTTGCATAATAAACTGTAGTGATTTTTTTCAAATCTATTTAGTTTTTTTCTAAATAAAAACATATGGTAAATGTTATAAAGCTTTTTGATGTGTTTTTGTATTCATCTAAAACTATATTTTGTTTCGGTATTATACTTTATTTTCTTTTTGACGTATATGAATTGATGTAAAACACTAAAACTTATGGTTATGTGTTATTTTAATGTATTTGGATTGATCTACGACTTATTTTTATATGTAATTTTAATGTTTGAATTTATAAACGTCAAATTTATGATTTATATATGTATGTATGTATGTATGTATGTATAGGAAAATATAAAAAAAAGATGAAAATAATAGAAATCGGTTAACCCGGCGGTCGAATCGGTTAAACCGGGAACCGGTCACCATACCGGTTCAACTAAAAAAAAGGTTTTTAAAACATTGCTTTTTAAAAAAAAATCATAAAAGGTTCTGCAGATTTAACTGGGAAAATCATAAGTTTTTTTTAAGAAAACATTTTTTTATGAGGCGTTATGTGGATTCGATCATATGTCATCTCTCCCTTTTTGTTGAGTCTATTGATCATCTTTTTGTAGGTTTAGTTGATTGAGTTATGGAGCCATGTTGCTATTTGAGACGTGTTTGACACAGAGCTTTTAGAAGCGTTTGAGAGCTTCTAGCTTTTAGCTTTTGACAAAACGCTCTAGTTTAAACAAAAAGCTTCGTTTGGCAGTACGAGCGTTTAGCTTTTAGTTTAAACAAAACGCTCCAAATCTAAAAACTACTTCACGTAGCGTTTAACAAAACGCTACTGAGCTTTTGAAATAAATTTCCATAATTACACTTAAAAATATATTTATATATTTATTTATTTTTAATCAGTTGTCCTTTTATGTAATTTTATATATTTCAAAAGCTACCAGCTACTTTTGTCAAACACTTATATAACAAATAAAAGTTACAACTTCCCGCTACCAGCTACCCGCTACACGCTACCAGCTACCACTACTCGTTTCCAGCTAACAACTATTTTTGCCAAACACGCCCTTGGTTGGACATTCAAATCCCTCACCAATTATCTAATGATTCTCTTCTTTCTTGATTATATTCTATTGCGTTAAGGAGCAGTCAACAAAAGACTTTTGATGCTGTGGTAATGACCATATATCGGTGTTTATGGACTTTTTGTAATTCCATTTTTTTTTGGATATGTAATGCGTAAGTCCTTACTTTTTGATGATGTGGCAAAGCTAAGATAAATTGGAGTTTTTGGTTACATAATCCTCCTTT